ATATTAAGTTTTTATCATGATAGACACCGATTTAACTGCAGTGATGCACAACATGCCTTTATGTTAAAATTAAATAAAACCACTTCTCATAAAGAACAAGAAAATGGTCTTCTTTTTAATGAAACACCAGTGGTTATATAGGCTAATTATGCATTCTTTATAACAACTTGTTTACTAACATTTTCGTCTCGTTTTTATTCATTGACGAAAATGTCAATAGATTTTCATCATAATTTTTGTCATTCAAAAAGAGTTTTAGTTCGTTATCATCGGTGAAAAAAATGTCGTTGACGAAATTAACACTGGTCTACACAGAGGTAAGATGAAATAAAATGTCGTCAAAACTTTTCTGAAGACAGCCAGTTCCCTTCATATAAACCCCACCTCCAATTCAGTATTTAGAACTTTCCTCTAATATTTTAAGCATTGCAAATAGTAGGGAACAGTATTTTCTCTGCTAGCGCATCGGTTCTCTCCTCTTTGCATTTGTCTTGTCCCGTCTCGGACCCCCATTATCCTGTTTACACAGTTCCTAACATATCTACACAAATGTCATTTTGGGAAATGATCGCAATTTGTGATCAAGTTCGGAATGGAGATTGTCCAAAATAAAACAAAAAACGTGGTTGCTTACTAAGTTACTACCACTCTTTGGAGATATAAAGGATGCAATACTACTCTATAGGTACTCAAGATTAACATGAGATTGGGTGAAACTGTGTGTGTTATGTCCCCTTTAAACTGTCCAGTTGCTAAAATGGCTTTCTTACATCTTTTAGTAACTCAGTTTGCACTTAACTTGTCAAATATTGCAAAAATGGGCAGGAATTATTTGGCCCTGTCAACGCTTCATTTCGACCAGTGGTCTGATTCAGATCATCAGCTCATTAGTAGAGGTTCAAAGACCTGAAATGGGTGTTTCAGACAAAGGAGGCATGCTAAATGTCTAGTGCTGGAGGATCCAGGAACGTGGTTGGGAACCAATAAGGCCTTTCGCACTGCGGGAACCTTTTCATAGTACCAGAACTAATTGTGGAACTACCCACTTTTTGGCGTGTTCGCACCGCCGGAACTGGATGCGATTTTAGTACCGGACTGCATTTTTCGAGAACGATTAGCTGGTTCAGGTGTGTTTGATTAGGGTTGGCGCTAAACTCTGAAGGAAAGTGATCTGGAAGGGCCCAGTTTGCCCACCCCTGATCTAGACAAACGATCCTCAAATCTGGCCCACGAGATCCACTTTCCTGCAGAGTTTAGCTCTAACCCTAATCAAACACACCTGATCATGCTAATCAATGTCTTCAGGATCATTAGAAAATCACAGGTAAGCGAGTTTGATCAGGGTTGGAGCTAAACTCTGCAGCGCATTGGCCCTCCAGGGCAAGATTTGAGGAACCCTGATCTAGACCAATGACTGATTTAGGTATGGGCGTCAAAAAATCTGGAATGGCGATTTGCACAGTCAGTTTTCTATTGCTCATTTGCAGGTCACATCAATTATATTGTCACTCTGTGGATCAATTAACCTTGTGAGTTAAGCCCAGTTTACACCAACAGCAGCAAAGCACTGTGATCTCATTGACTTGCTGGCGAATTCAGCGACCGGATGTTGGGGTGTCCAGCAACGTTGAGAAAAGTGACTTTTGGGAGCAACTACCAACGGGAGTGAAGTCATTGGAGTCATGAACAACTACACAAGTGTTTGGACTTAATAATTAGTGTGTTAAGATGATATGTTGATTTTGCACTTAGGAAATCTATTAATCATAAAAAGTCTAATAGAAGGGCCTTTCGCACCGCTTTAGTTCCAGAACTAAATGTACAGTACTAAAGTACTGGGACGATTTTGCGCGAACTATTTCCCAGTACCATTTAAAGCGTTGCATTCGCACTGACAGTGTGTACTAAGAAGTGACATAAGCCAGTCGACAGCGACGTCATTTGTTATTTTTGACATTCAGGTAGGGCAGATTCTGGGTCGTAGCAATAGATTATGATTAATTGTATTGCAAATTTTACTTTATTTTTTGCTGAACACATGGTGATGTAATTTTGGCAGAGGTAAAGTGTCCTTGCATAATTCAGCCAGAGGGTGGCACAGTGATATTTCCAAATAAATAGATTAGTAAGTAAATAACACCAGAGAAAACATTTCTACGAGTTTAAACAAAGAGAATATAAAGATTTGTGCATTACCGAGAATAATAACTTAACAATATTCTGAAGAGTTTGTGTTGTAATAAAGATGTAAAAAATGTTTACATATTCTGATATTTTTTCCTAAGAGATCCCATTCCAACATGTAATAGAAATGTAATAGCAATAAATGTAATAAATAAAAATGTAATAGACCTTAGTCAGGGTAGCGACATATTTAAATGTTGACGGCGTAAAAACAAGGCTACATAATAAAAATAAAACAAAACAACATAACGAAAGTTCAGATGGCAAAACGTCTTACTACCAAGAAAAAAAACTTTCAATAAACAGTTTTAACAAAAAGTTGTAAGTTGTGAAAATAGCACGATCTAGGACCTTTATACAGTGTGTGCTAGTCTATCCCAGACTTCATCTGCCTTCAATTAATCTATTCATCTAACCTGATTAAAGGGATAGTTCACCCAAAAATGAAAATTCTGTCATTAATTACTCACCCTCGTGTCGTTCCAAACCCGTAAGACCTCCGTTCATCTTCTGAACACAAATTAAGATATTTCTGATGAAACCCGAGAGTTCTCTGACACAAATATGCTGGGCGCCGCACACACAATTTTTGCTCCGATTTTCAATTGCTAAAAGTTTTGTGAAACTTGCAACAAATGATCAAAATTGGAGGCAAATTGGTGCTTGTTCATACGAGCGACAGTCACGACATGTCACTGATGCCCGTGAGATGTTTGGCAAGCTGAATATCTGGACCTGTGTGTGAAAACTGCGGCCTCGTGCCTCTGGCCTAAGCACAGCCGCTGATATAGAGCCGGTATCGCTCGAGTACGAGAGTGATATTGCTCATATATATATATACACACACAGTATATATCCGTATATACTGTATATACAGTGGGTACGGAAAGTATTCAGACCCCCTTAAATTTTTCACTCTTTGTTATATTGCAGCCATTTGCTAAAATCATTTAAGTTAATTTTTTTTCCTCATTAATGTACACACAGCACCCCATATTGACAGAAAAACACAGAATTGTTGACATTTTTTGCTGTCTGCGTTTCCATCGCGGTCTAAAGTACAGAGAAGATTATGCAAATAGTCTGGTGACGTAGGTCTGCGCGCGTTTCTAGATACCAAGTACGCAAATTTCGGACTTGCATCCTCGGTAGTTCGGACTTCGCAAGTTCGACTGTGTGAACTCCCGCGGACGGGACGATGCACATCCGGTAATTCGGCAAACAGCAGCGTACTTGATAACGCCAGTCAGCTCGCCTTGGCTACTGCAGTTTTCCTCACTGTATTTACAATAAGACGAAATATGATATCAAACACCACTGCCTCTTTTTGTTTTCATTTAAACATATTAATAGCCCAGAAATGTAGTTCAGGGAACGTACATGCATTACAATGAAACAAAATATTATATCAAACAATATTGCCTCTTTTCATTTTAACATATTAATAGAATAAAGACCAAAGATTGTCTGTTAGATTTACCCAAAACGAATTATATCTCATGTTTAACCACTACAGAGACATCGGAGCCAGCGGCAAATGTCAGAAGGACTAGCCGAGGTGAGGCTGCTCTTGTCGGGAAACATGAGCACTGAGCGCCCGCTGATCGCCTGGAGCACACGTCTCCGAAATCAGCGACACACATTTTCAAAAAGGCGCTGTCTTTATAAATAAAACGCAGGTTTGAGTTTTAAACAACTACATTCTCGCCTGAAATACTTTTAAAACTACATTTCATGACGCAATAACAGTAATATTTAAAAAAAAAATATGCGAATGGTGGTTGAAATACAATGCTGCGTGAACTCAACCAATCAGCATGCTCAACGCCCAAGTCCCGCCCCCGAAAGTTCCAGACCTTTGAAAAAGTACTACCTCGTGAGTAGGGCAAATTTTTACCTAGAACTTTATTTAGATCCTGGCATCATTCATTTCCAAAGTGAAGACCACGTTGTTACCTAGATTTGTGATCGTATTAAAGGGGTCATATGATGCTGCTAAAAAGAACATTATTTTGTGTATTTGGTGTAATGAAATGTGTTTATGCGGTTTAAGGTAAAAAAAAACACATTATTTTCCACATACTGTACATTATTGTTTCTCCTCTATGCCCCGCCTTTCTGAAACGCGTCGATTTTTACAAAACTAATCGGTCTGAAAAGCGAGGTGTGCTCTGATTAGCCAGCTATCCAGTGCGTTGTGATCAAACCATACATCAATGGAAAGCTTATCTATTCAGCTGTCATGTATAATTTTCATGTATAAACCTCAATTTGACCTTATGACTGGTTTTGTGGTCCAGGGTCACATATGATTATGCATAGCATTATTATAACATAATCGAATGCTCATTTTATTTTACCATACAAATCTTAAAACCAACATTTTCTCATCTCATGTTGACGGCTCCGCAATTAAAAGGATGTGTTTAGTTGCTACAGGACTCGTAATGTAACTCATAGATACATCTCACCTTGTCACAGACACGTAAATGGCTAAGCTAAATTATAAAGCCGTATTAACAGACACACCCTGAGTAAACAAGTTTTGGGCTTATCAAACCAAGAGTTCAGGGTACATGTAAGTTAACCTTGTTTTCTGGAATACCCCCCTCTGACGAACTCTGACTTTTTCTAAAATTTGTTGTGTATAAGTGGGAACAAAGGCAATGTCAACTAAAACAGGGTAGAAATGTATTGTGCATTCATTCTTTTCTCTTCCATTATGGACGCATGAATGTGTTTAACCATGGCAAGAAGCGGGACACTTTCTGAAAGACATAACCGTTCTTGCAGTCGGTTCCTGAAGGCTGGCTGACTATTCCGGTGAGGAAGACCACCTCTCTGTACAGCGTGAGCAAAGGGCTGCCGTGTCCCAAGATGCAGTCTGCTTTAGCTCGAGGCATAGTACATGCCATTTTGTTGGTGACCTGAAGACAAAATAAAAGCACTCAGTTATATGCATCTACTTTAAATATCTTTGATATTCATGCTGTATATTCCTTTCCTCTGTCCCCCCCCTTTTATTTTGAGCAATTTGTGCACCAGGTAATCCCAAGACATCAATATTAATCAAACCAATCAAGACCTGAAAAGCAGTCTAGGCTCCACTCCTTATCTATCTGTGTAGGGGCTTCGGAAATCCAAGGTTTTTCCATACAGTTTAATGTTTTCTAGTAATGTTAATAGAGCTTAATCTAGGGTTTCTAGGGTTATCTTCAGCTGCACTTCAGCGTCCGTCCATCTATTGCTGTTCTCCATACTTCCGAAATAAGTTGACATAATGTTTACAGTATGTTTACACGGCGTTTTAAATCATGGCGGGGGAGGGGGGTTTCATACGCGTTTGGCCAATCAATGTCTACTTACGTCACGATTAGTACCAGTTGTGC